TCTCGTGACTCTCCTGGAATCTGACTCGGCTTGTGACTAGACCATTCTCTGTGGTTTCCTTTGATCTGACCTTCCGTTGCTGAACCCGGCCCGTGACCTGTGATTCTTGTCCACTGTTCTGTACCGTTTTGTCCCGTTGTTGTCGACCCGGCCTGCTTGACTACGCTATTGTCATTCCTATCAGCTACATGCCATTGGTGGCGGCCATTACCGCAGCCGGGGTGTCTCGGGGGCCGCGACCTGGTTCCTGGCTGTGTCAAGTCCATCCCCAACCTCAGGGGCTCTGGTGAAGGGCAGCCTGGGACTTAGACTCCGTGCCCTGAGGGACTTCGGTCTGTGGGTGGTGGTTGTTGTCAGTCAGTGCGTTACCCTGCCACTAGGCCTGCCTGGCCATTCCACAGCCCCTGCCCTGACAGAGATGAGGGGGTGTTCAGTAGTCTTAACACTCTTCTGTGTGATGCTGAAGCTGTCCCATGTTGACTCTATGTCCGCGGTCACACCGGTGCAAATTGTTTTGCCATTTGATCATTTCAAATGACACATGACAAGTCGCACCCTATTGTTCGCAATGGAAGTGGTCAAATCAATTTTGAAAGTAGTTCATGCACTACTTTTTGCAAGTTCAGGTGCAACTTGCATAGACACCTGTGCATGAAGTCCCACAGATGTCTTCCAAGTTGCACCTGAAGTTTCACTGACATCCAACTTTGAAATTGTGCGAATTCAAATGAATTTCGATTTCAAAGTCGGATTTGGTGTGACCGAAGACTTAGAGAATTAGGACCATATGACCATTCTCGGTCTTCTTCAAGCAAAGAGCAGTGACTGTCCGCAGACACTGCTCTTCCATTGCTCACTGGAACATTGGCCTAGGAGGGGCGGGTATGGCTGGCTGTTCTAGTCTCTCAACACATCCTGAAAGAGAGATCTAGCTGTCAATCAGGCAGGGGGGGTGGATTCCAACAATGGCATGGCTCTGCCCCATCAGATGATAATAAGCAGTAGCCCACTATAAACTGATTCTGGGTCACATGGGGATAAAAGAAAATGTATTCCTGTGCCTCACAAGGGAAGTACAGCCAAGAAAGATTTGACCATACTTCTCTTTTAAAGTCTAAAACCCAAGAACAAACATTAGCTATATTGCAGTTTACTGGTCCTTAGATGTGGTGATTGTGTTAGTTTTCCTTTTTAGCCTTTTACCCCATTTTTTACATGGTTATCCAGCCAGCAATACACTTTCTGTCTTAGGGTGACAACGCTCCCTCACCGTATTGTATTTATAGAGGAGCAGCATTGTCACTCTATGACATGAAGAGTGTTAGGACTACTGAACACCCCCTCCTCTCTTCATCTCAATATCATAAGGGGATTTGTTCTGCAGTCTATAGAGAAGAACTGAGTAGGATTGATGAAACATTACGGTTATATTAGTGAAGCCGGGATACACTGTTTTCATCTCACTAGAGGAAGTTACAAGCTCACTGGATTTCTGTCAGGGTCAACAGGTGGAAGGTGGCCTGTAGTATGCAGAGAGAGCTGGGAACAATGCATCTGATAACAGTCAGCAGAGAGCACAGAAAGCTATCTTTCCCAAGATTTCTGGCAGAATCAACAGATATTTATTTTCACTTAAAAAACAGATATAACTAAAAAAACCTTTCTGTTGTAAAGTAAACAGGCCTAAAGCTTGAAGACAAGGGAAGTTCATTGCTACGGTTTGCATACACTTTAAAGGATCGGGACAGTCAGGGTTATTACAGCATGTATCCACTTTAGACTTAATAGTTGGAAGGCTTGTAAAGTCTGTCTTCATTTTGTCATCCAGCATTGAAATATTAGTTTATTGTTACATTCCCACATGGTCCCAATCTTCTCTGTGTATGTCACTGTCAGCTAGAATTCCTCATGTCTTCTCCAGCCGCTGCTCCGGCTTGTCATTGTCACCAACATAATTGGCTGTTCGCATGTAAAAGCATGTAAATGCTCCATAGCCACGGTTTTGTATCAGGGCTATCATTCATCATCTTGAAAGGTGAGACATATTATTCTGTCCCATGCAAATGATAAACAGCAGACCTAAAAATCACAATGACACTGCGCACGGGCAATTATGTGGGGACAGGATGTTTGGCCAGCCTTAAAAGAAGCGGAATGTAGAATACTTTAATATTGAAGTAAGCAAAGTTTATTCTTCTGTATCTAGAGTGACAGTAGAGATGAAATGTTTAAGGGTGGCTCCAGCCAAATTGAAGGGTATTGAGAGGAAATCTTCCCAATGAAGGTTCAAACAGAAATGAAAAGCTCAAAGAGATTCTACCCCTTCCCCACAATTCTGTTTATTGTTCTGTGTTTCCACTGGTGAAATGTATCCTAATTTCCTGTCTAACACAGTGAGACAAAATCTCCCTAGCGGGGATATAGATACTGTATATTCGGACACTGCCCCATTCATTCCAAAGCATACATAAAAAAATAATTAGTAGAATAATGGGCAAAACATGGCACGTACAATGCAGTCTGCCATTAGAATTAACACAGCAATTTTTTGTTGTTTAAAAGCATAAATAAACCTAAAATGTAATATATTGTAGCTTACCAATCAATGAATGTGGTGGCTGTGTTCATTTTAATTTTTTTCAGGCTCTTCCAAAATTTTCATCTGGTGATTCTGTCTTTGGTTGGCTACATTCGCTCCTCCACTGTATCTATGGAGGAGCATCATAGCACCCTTGGACAGTAGCAATGTAAGTCAGCGGAGAGAGTGGTGTTGGATGGACTAGTAGATTTAGATGGACCTTGCATTTATTTATTTATTACAGGTACTGATATAGTGCCGTCATTTTACGCAGCACTTTTACACATACTGTACACTCACCGGTCACTTTATTAGGTATACCTGTTCAAATTGCTAATCAGCCAATCACACGGCAGCAACTCAATGCATTTAGGCATCTATAAGTAGTGAAGATGACTTGCTGAAGTTTAAACTGAGCATCAGAATGGGGAAGAAAGGGGATTTAAGTGACTGTAAACATGGCATGGTTGTCGGTACCAGGCGGGCTGGTCTGAGTATTTAAAAAAACTGCTGATCTACTGGGATTTTCACACATAACCATCTCTAGGGTTTACAGATAATGGTCCAGAAAGAGAAAATATCTAGTGAGTGGCAGTTGTGTGGATGAAAATGCCTTGTTGATGTCAGAGGTCTCGTTACTACCAAGGTATGCAGCATACCATCTCTGAATGCACAACACGTCTAACCTTGAAGCAAATGGGCTACAGCAACAGAAGACCACACTGGGTACCACTCCTGTCATCTAAGAACATGAAACGGAGGCTACAATTCGCACAGGCTCACCAAATTTTGACAATAGAAGATTGGAAAAATGTTTCCTGATCTGATTCTCGATTTCAGCTGCGACATTCAGATGATAGGGTCAGAATTTGGCATAAACATTATGAAAGAATGGATCCATCCTGCTTTGTATCAACGGTTCAGGCTGGTGTGGGGGATATTTTCTTGGCACACTTCGGGACCCTTAGTACCAAATGAGCATCATTTAAATGCCATGGCCACCCTGAGTATTGTTGCTGACCATGTCCATCCCTTCATGACTACAGCGTCCCCATCTTCTGATGGCTACTTCCAGCAGGATAATGCAGCATCTCACAAAGCTCAAATCATCTCAAACTGGTTTCTTGAACATGAAAAGTTCACTGTACTCCAATGGTCTCCACAGTCACCAGATCTCAATCCAATAGAGCACCTTTGAGATGTGGTGGAATGGGAGATTCACATCATTAATGTGCAGCCGACAAATCTGCAGCAACTGAGTGATGCTATCATGTCAATATGAACCACAATTTCTGAGGAATGTTTCAAACACCTTGTTGAATCTATGCCATGAAGAATTAAGGCAATTCTGAAGGCAAAAAGGGGTCCAACCCGGTACTAGCAAGGTGTACTTAATAAAGTGGCCGGTGGGTGTATATTGCACATTCCCCAGGGACTGTGCCTTCAAGGAGCTTACAATTTAATGTCCCTGACCCACATTCATACACATACTTGGGCCAATTTAGACAGGAGCCAATTAACCTACCATAAGTGACCAGTGGCGTCCCTATCGGGGTGTGACCCTCACCTGGGTGACACCCTCCAGAGGGGTGACAATAGGGCTTTGCCTCTTTTAGCTCTTACCTGCCTCTCACTGCTGTCACTTCCACACACAGAAGCCACATGGGGTGACACCATGTTTTACCATACTGGGTAACACACACCCTAGTGATGCCACTGTGAATGACTAACAATTTAAAGCCCAACTCCAAATAGCACTTTTTCTGGTACAATCATTTTTATTGAAAATCTAAAGAAAATACAATGCAAGAGTCACCCTCGCAGGGGACCTTATACAGACAACATAAAAATCGCTTACACCTTCAAACAGCCATCGTTGAAAAAAGGTGGGAGTGTGCATGACAATTTAATGAGCAATATTACAGAGATTGAACAAGCATAGGGCAGACCATCTGCCTAAACAACTGGCTGAATCTAAAGACCCAGATATATTAATGTGATGCACATGTGATCAGCTATGACCCCAGTCATTTGATAACTTGAGAGTTTGGCTAAGAGTGCAAGCAGTTGTGATAGTTATTATTACTCATGGTATGCCTTGAATGTAACAGTATGGGAAACAGTTAAATTGATGGGTTTAGTTCCACTTTGGATCACTGGTGGATCATCAGGTAATACATTTAGACAGAAGCCAATTATGCATGTGGAAGGAAACTGGAGTACCCAGAGGAAACCCACAAAAGGATTCAGATCATGAACCCCAGTGCTGCAAGGCAGGAGAAATAACCACTGATCCATTGTGCTGCCCCATATCTCCACTTTTATGTTTATAGTGTTTTGTCTTGAATTGGGCGTTATGGAATGCTAATTTATCACAGCATATTTTAGGGCCATAATTGATTGCTTCATCCTTTTTTGTAGAATGGGAAAAAAAGTTAAGAAAGAAGCTGAACCACCGCCGAAAGATGTGGTAAGTTTGTCACCAGATTCATAAAATTGAACAAAGTGTAAACAATGAATTTAGTTCAATATGCAATGTGTTTCAATACAGGTTCCAGTTACACATTGTGGCAGTTGTACAGTTTATGAATCTACAATGAAATAAGCTGGAATTCTGTAATCGGACCATGCACTCTTAATGCACTCGTCTTTTTGCTGCTCTATCCTCTCTTGCTCAGCCATTTGGTTTTTAGTTTATACAGACCCCTGCTTCTGTGAGATATTTTACCTCCTTGGTGCTGTACAGACTTTCTCCCAAACTGTTCAGAATTCTGCTCAGTGCTACTAGCAAATGCAAACTGCAGACACCATTAACTTTAGTTCCTATAGAGGTTCTGGTTTAAAGTAAATGGAGTCTATTGTGCACTGTATAGAATTTTGGTATGTACAGGTGGCAAGCTGTGCACCGGGTAGAATGCACAGCAAAAATCTTGTAGGAGTTGGGGTTACAGGTAAGTACTGTATAAAACTATGCCTCTATAACTAACCCTATTATATGGGCTTCCAAGGGTATCAAGACTCTAGGGGATGTAGTGAGAGGGGGAACACTGCTCACATTTGATGATCTGAAGCACTGTATAGAATTTTGGTATGTTCAGATGGAAAGCTGTGCACCGGGTAGAATGCACAGCAAAAATCTTGTAGGAGTTGGGGTTACAGGTAAGTACTGTATAAACTATGCCTCTATACCTAACCCTATTATATGGGCTTCCAAGGGTATCAAGACTTTAGGGGATGTAGTGAGATGGGGAACACTGCTCACATTTGATGATCTGAAGCCTAAATGGAACCTCCCCAGTGCATATATCTTAACTGCAACTGAAACATGCCTTTGTCGGTCAGTTTGGCTCCATAAACATAGAGACTCGGCCATCTTCGCTTGAAAATGTCCTTATAGACAAATCACTGAAAAAAACAATGTCAGAACTTTACAAAGACCTTTCCCCAATTCCTCCTTCCTCAGTGACTCGGTGCCGGATGAAATGGACAGAGGAAATTCCGGATTTGGTTGGAGACGACATGTGGACCTCTCCATTTTCTCATCTAATGTCCTCTCAAAATAGACTAATCCATTTCAAAATTTTACACAGAATATATTATACTCCTGCCAATTTGGCTTGAAATTACCCGCAGGTGTCTACTGAGTGCTGGTTCTGCTCGCTCTCCACAGCCACCTTTGGACATATCTTTATGAGCTGTCCGGTAGTTCAGAATTTCTAGAAAGAACTGTTGCATTGTATTACTAAGATGACATCTGTACCAATACCTGTGAAGGTGTCAGTCTGTTTCCTTGGCTTGGTAAAAGAAATAGTTCCCACTAGGGCCCAACGCACCTTGATTAGCCTTCTGCTATTTTATGCCAGCAAAGCCTTAATTTTATACTGGAAAAAAACCTGAGGTTCCCTCTTTACCTTACTGGAAGGGGCTGGTTAACAAAATGATCCCGTTATATAAGGGCACCTACAGGAACAGGTTGTGTCCAAAAAAAATTTACAAGGTATTGCAAGTCTGGTTAGATAGCCTCTCCACCTCTGGCTAACAATGTGTGTCTTAGAGTGTTACTAAACCCACAACAGTATAATCAGTCTATATATGCAGTAAAGAATGCTTGGTATACTCACTGTGGAACCTAAGGGGTTAATCCTCTGTATTGTGTAAAAATACTGTTTGATCCTGACTTCTCTGATCCTCCCCTTCTTCCAGTGTCTCCTTCTTATCTCCTGATAAGACATACCGTGTGGAGACACTGCACATGCTCAATTTGGTGTGTATTGCTAGAGAGTGTTTTTTATTCTTGGAAGGGTGCATGTGATTAGCAAAGGTCCATTCAGCACTGTCCAGACAGAGGTCAGGGGTTCTGCATCCTCCTAAAGAAAACTTCTCCTACAAGCTTTAACCAGTGCTCCACCGAACACTGATAGAAGTCACAAGACTGCTCTAACTGCTGATGAGAAAAGGTATTTAGCAGATTATATTTACTAAAATAATTGCATTTCCATGTTCTGCGTACCATAAGAGACCAGATAGAGTGAATGCAGGGTCCTGGGTTTAGTAACACTTTAAGCTCACTCTGTTTCTTAACCTGGTCCTGTGCAAACTCCTCAGAAATCCCCTTCAGATATTTTTTTTGCCCCAGCATATTGTATATTTCTTTTACCCCGATTCAGAGATGACACTACACATGAGTATCCTATCCTATGGGCCCCCTTTATTCTTACTATATTTGGTGAAAATTGTTGCCATTTTTCTGCGCTGTGGCCCACAGGGGCCTTGATATCTGGTATGACCAGTATATTGATGGTTGGGGTAGCCTGGTTAAGGGGTTTCTTTAATAGGGTCTATGTTAGAGTTATGATTTTTGGTTCTGGCCCTGCGAGACTGCTGGTTATGTATTTTGTAAAACTCAATAAAAAACTATTTATAAAGCAAACATTGCGGAGAGAGAATTCCATGATTGGTTGAGTGGCCAGTCAAAAAGCTTTGAAAAATCATGCGATTAGACTCTCTCGCCCCCTGCTTTTTTCCATTCAATAGTATGAATAGTGCTGTACTTGCTTCGGAGCATAGAATCAAGGAGAGCACATTTATATAGCCCAGCACTATGGGAAGCCAGCACTATTGCTTTATGATTGGGGTCCTACAAGTACTCTTATCTTATAAGTTCCTCCTTGTATATTCCAGCCAAAATATAATTTATTATGTGTTGAACTGTACTTCTCCTTACTTTTCCTGCTTTTTTTCTCCTTCCAGTTTGATCCATTAGCAATTGAAAGTAAGAAGGCCGAAACGGCTGTGTTGATGCTGCAGTCCCCAGAAGAAGAAATTCTCACAAAAGCCTGTGACGCCTTGTATAAGTTTGCACAGAAAGGTTTGTTTTCTTTGAGGTAACATCATAAAATCATAAGCATTGGGAAATGTTTTGCAAGCCGAATGTAGACTTTCAAATTGACAGTCGCAAGAACGCTTCCACAAACCCCCCGATTGGGTGCCACCCTCACCGCATTTCCATGGTTTCAATATCCTTACCTGGGGACTTGAGACCCACATGGTGTGTACCACCAGATACAGGGGAAGGAGACCAGCAAACACCCATATGCTGATCTCCCCTAGCTGATCTCCCCAGAAGCAATGAGGTAAGAAATATTTGGCATGGAAGCAATGAGATAAGGAAGTTTGATCACAGCAGCAAAAAAAAAGAAGGATATTGGAAATCTGAAGGAGGCTAAGATAAATACAGGGGGCTTTTTTGAGCTAGGTATACATAATTGAATAGATTTTTTTAAAGCCAAAGTTTAATGTCACTTTAAGTCAGTGGTCTCCAAAACTGTGGCCCTGGTACCAGATGTGGCCTTTTGCTTGCCTTTATCTGGCCTTTGGGGCACTGTTCCTGCAAATGACAAGTGGAGTAAAATTCCTTCCGCTGACACCACTTATGGGGCACTATTCCTCCCATTGGCACCAGGGCATTTTCTACTCACACTGGCCACAGTCCGGCCCCCTCAAAGTCTGAAGAACAGTAAATTGACCCTTTGTTTAGAAAGCTTGGAGACCCCTGCTTTAAGTGACAACGCTGATCTGAATTCAGAAGCAGTGCAGCAGCATTGTCACCCCATCGCAGGAAGCTAGAGGAAGTGCATTTCACCGACAGCATCATCAGATATTCTTGATACTTTACAGGGGGACTAAGAGAAAAACTGTAAGTGCAGATGTACTTACAATATACTGCTGCAGCACATATTTTTTATTAGAGACAATAGTTCCATTTTAATAATGCTTCCATTAATTATGTGTCCCTTGTGCTGCTGTGTTCTCATTTAGAAGAAATCTTTCTACTCCAAATTCAAGCAGCAAAACCCTTTTCAATACCTATAAATAACAAAATAAATTCTTTGTTTCTTGCTCAAACACTATGTAAGTGAATTCACAACACCTCTTTCAAATAGTTCCTTAAATATAGTGTAGCGCAACAATAATATACTTATACCAATAACATCAACTGAAACACATATGAACAGAAATAGTGTAATGAACTGAAACCAAGTCCCAATAAAGTGTCTGGTGACTGTTTTACGACTCCCCACTGTGCTATATGTGACACATAAAACTTCGTCACTCCTCTTCTTGTGCCAAAAGTGCCTCCACCAAACAGGTGAAAAACCTACTGACCTCACTTTAATAAGTGGGTCAAAATATGCTCATCACTCCATAAGGCACACACCCATGTGTAGCTGGGGAATTCCTTCTCCACTTCTCTCAATATAAAGCGGATCTTCCTTCCCCCATTCACACATGTCATACATTAGTAAAACCCAAAACCAGAAAAGCAGAACCTTAGTGCTCTCTATTTATAAAAACTTTTATTTGTGCTCAGACTAAAACACCTACAAGTTTGTCAGTGTCCCCATACATAACAGCCGTTTTTTCAGCCATCAGTTGATGTTATAGGTATAAGTATATTTATGTTGCGCTACACTATATTTATGGTACTATTTCTACTCTGATACCCTCTAACCCCACTACTGTAGAAATAAAATGGGCTTTTATCAAGAGTGCCCAACTATGCTCTCCTTTTCCACCATCTTCTCCATTCATAGAAACCAGTACTACAGCTTCTAAGAATGAAACACGATATATGAATGGAGGGGGCAGACCGCCCATTATCAATCATCTTCCCATCTTCCATTCATAGATGATCTTTCATAGAATCTGTAGTACTAACTTCTATGAGTGGGGGGAAATAGATATTTTGTTTTATACCAAAGTATAGTGTCACTTTAAGTGACAACACTGATTTGAATTCAGAAGCAGTGCAGCAGCATTGTCACCGCATCATAGGAGGCTAAAGGAAGTACACTTTAACAACATCATCAGGTACTTTCAATCAGGTACCTTACAGGGGTACTAAGGGAAATTTAAACCGATCATCAACATAGATCTATAATAATGTTGCTTACTGCCTCACTTTCTACTTTAGAGCTCTATATGGGTCACCCAACTTAATTTTATTGATCCAGTAACAAGCTGTAATTTCCTTTCGATAACACTAAATTATTAAATCCTGTTCCTTCAGGAGATGAAAATAAAGTAACACTTCTAGGACTTGGCGCAGTAGAATCATTATCTAAGCTCATCTCTCATGAAGATAAAACAGTTCACAGAAATGCCGTCATGGTGTGTGGGATCATGGCAGCACACAGTAAGTTATTATTTGAAAGGATTTCTGAGACAAACTGGGTTGAGAAATATCCATGATTTTTTATTTTACTTGCTCTAACGAGTACATTTTCAAGACAAGCTTTTGGGGTCTAACCCCTTTTTTTAGAGCCTAAGTTTAGCTTAAAAAAAAAAAAAATAAGCAGAAAGGGGACATTACTTACCTACAGTACATTGCAATCTGTCCCTTGTGCTGCTGTGTTCTTATTTGGCAGAAATCTTTTTACTCCCATACCCCCTGCAAATGTAGAAACAATATTCTGTACACACAGGCATATAAAAGGAACAAGGTGCTTTACAGAATTGCATGGCAAAGCAAATGGTTTAGCACGCATTACTGCATAATAGTACACAAAACTGACAGCCATTGCTAATTCAAAAGTGACTTTCCAGTGGCATTTATTTTGAATTGCCCCCCCAACACACCTTCAATGCACCACAACACACAGATATAGAATTATCTGTATGTTGTGGTGGGCTTAGGGTTGCCACCTGTCCAGGATTCACCCAGACAGTCTGGGTTTTGATTCATGTGTGCGGGCTTCAGTCTACCTGAAACCTGAACACATACCATACCACTATGCACAGTGGCTGGAAGATAGCACTAAGCAGAGCTGCTCCCCCTCACAGCTCCACCCCTCAACTCCGGCTCCCACTTCCTGGCTCACAGCAGGGGGGCTTGTTGATATAAGGGCACTCTGATCTAATGGGGGGGTCTCTAAGTTAGGTTGCTGATATAAGGGGACTCTGGTCTAAGGGGGGTGTTGATATAAGGGGACTCTGATCGAATGGGGTCTCTAAGGGGGCTTGATATAAGGGGACTATGATCTAATGGATGGGTCTGTAAGGGGGGGGCACTGGTATAAAGGGACTCTCATCTAAATGGGAGATCTCTAATTTAGGAAAGGTGCTGATATAAGGGGACTCTCATCTAATGAGGAGTCTGTAAGGAGGGTACTGATATTAGGGGACTCTGATCTAATAGGAGGCCTCTAAGGGGATGGGAACATTTTCCATGTGCCACTAAAGTGTCCAGGTTTGGCTTGAAGAACATGTAATTTAAAAAATGCTGCAGGTGTGTTACAACCTGTATTGTGGTACATGGCAGTCTATTCAAAATGATTGGGTTGCCATTATTGTAAAGTGGGTCAATGTTTGAAACTTCAGCTGGGAGATCTGTTTACAACATTCCCCAAGAAATAGTAGATGCTGTTGGGTGATTGAAACCACCATTATCCAGGCAAAACTGAGTTTTGGGTGGACTTGACCAAGGGAAATGGACCATGTCCACACAGTTTTTCCATAGCCAGCCATCTGCTGTTTTGGACAGCGGAATGTCAGTAGAATTTAGAAAATAATTCAAGAATGTACTATGAGAAATGTAGAAGGTGTTCAGCAGAGTTTCTCTCTGTCTAGCCATCCAGAAAAATAATCAATGGCACATCGATGGAATAAAAGAACCTCAGTGTTTCTATTAAGACATTTTACAACTCGCCAATTCTTCTTCAAAAAGGCCAAGCGTTTGTAGTTTAACTCAATTAAATCAGCATCCAGCATAATTAGACAGGAAGAGCATTGACCTAGCTTTCATGTAGCATAAAGCTTCAGCAAACTGTTCAATTTTTTTAAGTTAATCTGTGCTCTTTTTAACATTTGTTAGATGTTTTGAATGGGGTCAACTGAATATAAATCATCTTATAAATGTGTTAATATATAAAGAAAGCTTGTTTCTGTTACTGTTTTATGGATTTATATGCACATGGGCATGCACATACTTGTCTTACTGCAGCCTTTCTCAACCTTCTTAACCCAGAGGAACTCATAAAATAATTTTTGGGTCTCAGGGAACCCCTCCTAAAACCAGTTCAGTGGGAGTTACTGACAAAATGCCCGTTATATTGGTTAGTGGTCATAAATTCCTCCCTTACAGTGGTTGTCAGAATGCCACCTTTACAGAAAGCTAAATAGATCATTGGTGTCATGTTGCTGCCTCTACCAAGTGGCATAGGATCTAGAACTATCGTGGCACCATCAGATGGGAGGTCAATCAGCCACAGCTCAAGAAACAACTAACAACCACTGGAGGAACATTAGGGTCCCATGGAACCCTGGTTATGAATGGCTGGTGTAGATTGTTATTGCTCACACCCTCCCCAGTCTCATTTTATGCCCAGGGCTGCACTGGAGCTGTTTTTAGTTATTCAGTCACACTACTAAAATCACTAGTGATTAGTAAAATTCTGGGCTATCACTAATTAATCTTAAAACTGCTCCCACCCCCTTTTAACACCAATATTAACTACCATGTAGAAGAATGATGCTTACCTATTTTCAGGGCACTCTGGTCACGTGATTGGCTCCCCTGTGGAAACTAGCAGCGACTACAGGGGAGAGGATGGCAATAGTATGCTTGTGGTTACGTCACCACTCAGGCATTCCAGCTGTTGTCGGACACTCTCTTCTCTCCCCTATAGCCGGTTGCTAACTGACACAGGGGAGATCACATGACAAATCAGAGCGCCCAGAAAATATGTAAGTATGCAAATCTCTTTCTTCTACAGGTTGGATAGTATAGGTTTTAGAAGGGGGTTGGGAACAGTTTTAAGATAAGTTAGGGATAACCTGGAATTCTACTTTAATTGCTAACAGCAGTGA